TTTAAGCTTTTCTCTTTCTCTCTTTCTGATTTTGACGACAAATAGAACTTCTGTGACGTATGAGTCTACCTAGGGTTGCATGTGGTATATCTTTTGTGCTGTATGGTTCTCTAGTTTGTAACTCTTCTTTCATGAATATGAATGCTTGCTCACAGTGCATTGGATGGGCTGGTCAACTTGTGGCAAGTTGAAGACAGAGGGTATGTTCTTCTCTAAAGCAACCTCCAAACTAGAAGAAAGTCCTTTCGAGTTAAATATATTTGATTTTGTACATTAAAAAAAAAAAAAATGATTGCAGATTCTAATGCCCTTGGCATATGATAATAATGTACACTTCTTAATTGAAGTTTTTGACTTGGATTGTACTCTACATTTAAGTGCAGTTCAAGTGTCAATCTTCTAAGTACTACTGATTGTCAATCGTCCAAGAGGAGATGGCCAGAAGATATAGCTTGGCATCCAAGGGGAAATAGCCTCTTCTCAGTTTATAGTGCAGATAATGAAGATTCTCAGATATCAATTTCGAATATTGATAAAGAAAAAGAGGTATTGATTATAATACAGAATTGGTTTATTAATATTTGTCATGCTTTTAGGTATATATGACATTACAACGTAATTTACTATATGTTCCGATATATAATATCATGCCTCTTTATATACCTAATCAGGGTGGCAATCTGAATCAATTTATAAACATCCACAGGAATTGAGCGTCACTTTTCTAAAAGAAAAGCCTCACATTAAAGGCATTATCAACAGCATCATGTTCATGCCCTGGGATGAAACATGCTTTGTTACTGGAGGGAGCGACCATGCAGTAGTCCTGTGGGCCGAGAAAGATGGTGAGCATTCGTGGAAACCTAAAGCATTGCATAGAAGTATTCATACCTCTGCTGTGATGGGGGTTGCTGGGATGCATCATAAGAAAGTTGTGATGTCAGCCGGTGCAGATAAGAGGATTACTGGGTTTGATTTATTAGCTGAGAGAATAGATTACAAGAATCAAATAGATAGCAAATGCATGAGTGTTTTGCCTAATCCACGTGACTTCAACCTCTTTATGGTTCAGACAGGGTAAGTTTATCCTCAAAATCTTCTTGTACCTCCTGGGTTAATATATCTATGATTTCTAGTATTTTGTTTTAAGAAACAAACTCAAGGGTTACACCTACTGGAGTATTTCAAAATCTTTAGTTGGCCCAAATGCATGTACAAAAGGCTGGAAAATAAATCCATTTGTCTGCTTATGAAAGTAATCTATTTGCATCTCTGAATTTTACTTCTGTGAGTTAAACTTATGCCTATTGATTTAGAATTTTAAAACCAGGAGTAGAGTATGACAGAAATTCGTGACGTATTGCTTCATCAAATTGGAACTGGAGGAGGTTGATCAGAGCCTTTCCACTTTTTTAAGGAAAAATGTACCTGACTGAAGTAATTTATTGTATGCAATGGTAAACATGTGACCCATGATAAACCTTGGTATTTTGATGACTCGGATTAGAACTATTTATGAGACTTGAATAGGTGTATTGATGAATAAATTCTTTTGAAAGAACGTTAACATGTTGTAATATTGACGAACTATCAAAACGTGAGCAATTAACCATTTTCTTCTGATGCAAATTAATTTTGTTCATGACTCCCTTAGTGACATGGCTTAGATCCCCATGTAGAGCTATGAATCCAAGAATTTCCTTTATTAGAAGTGTCATTAGAGACTTTTCTAATAAGCATTCCCACGTCATCTTGAAGTTTTTAACTTTGTTTCCTTTTATCTTATTTCTTTATTTTCATACAATATCATATTGTTTCTTGTCATATTGTTGAGTTGGAAGAACGATTATACTTGCTAGAATTTTTGAATTATACACATTTTATTTGCTATTATTGAGCTAAAAACATGCCTTATTGTAGGACTCCAGAGCGTCAACTTCGACTTTTAGATGTGAGAGAGAGGCAGACGGTGATCCACTCATTTGGTTGGAAGCAAGAGAGTACTGAATCACAATCGGCCCTTATAAATCAGGCTTGGTCACCCGATGGCCTATACATAACATCTGGTTCAGCCGACCCTGTTATTCACATATTTGACATCAGATATAATGCTCACAAACCATCTCAGTCTATAAGAGCTCATCATAAACGAGTCTTTAAAGCCGCATGGCACCATTCTCTCCCATTGTTGATCTCCACCTCTTCTGATTTGAACATCGGAGTGCATAAAATTACGAGTTGCTGAAGTGAAACTATTGACCTACCTTATGTGCTCTCCTCATTCCCAATGCTTGGGAATTTTTGCCTTAACGAGGAACCACAAACAACATATTCAGGTAATGGAATCTACTTCTTGGGATGTTAATTTTGTGAGGGTGAGGGTGGGATGAACACGATGTCCGAGGTGGCATAAGTTTTTCTTTTTTTTCTTTTTGTTTTGTTGGGGGGGGGACCCTTTGTGGTCGTCGAGGGGACAATATTTGATGTGCAAGTATTGTTCTACTGGATTATATTCAGTGGAATAATTAATAAAAATATTCTTTCTTTTTTCTTTAATCATCATTTGACTAATATTTTATATTGGCTCTTGGGGACAATACAGACAGACTTTAATATATAGATAAATCATAAAAGTGAGTGGGGCATTGGATCCTTCATGATTGATATGTGCATGTAAATCCACATGATGGTCCAGCTCATTTTGGTTCAAGAAACGTAAGTGGGATTACAATTTAATTATGAGTCTATTAATCAATTCGAGCTTGTTAATTATCGTGTTTTTGGTTCCCGGTTCATCCCCGTCGCTGTACTTAGGATGGCAACGAAATGGGTAGGATTGTTTAGCCCTCCCTGCTCTGTCGAAGACTTCTAGGAAGGAGACAAGATAGGTATTAAAAAATCTCTATTTTTCAGAATCGTAGGGAGGCATAATGTCATTCCAAACGTAGACTATTTGTAATGCTCCATGAAAGTCATAAAAGTAGAGCACAAGTTAAATGCATCCGACCGAATAATCATATATAGCAAATCAGTAATGTTTCTTAAAGCATTTCCACAACCTTTAATTAATATTTTATTAAGGTAACTTTTTGTAAGGGTATAGAGTTATAATTATTGTGTGATTGTGGACTATGGACGGACAAAACATTAGTTTACAGCTTGTTTGGTTTTGGATTAAAATTTGATTTTAACCTAAATCAAAATCAAAGTCAAATAATAAATATTAACCACAACTTTTATGGGTTACATAACTTTTCAACCACATATTTTAAAAACTTTTATCACAATCTATTAAAAAATTTAATTTTAATTATCACCAAACATCCTCTTAGTCAATATAATAGTTTATTAATTTAGTCAATCTAATACTAAATAAACAGCAAATTTCACAACTTATTATTTTATTTGTTTGTTTCTTTTAATAATCAAGGATCAAGTTTTCTTTTGTTGTACCACAATTTCTTAGGATTTGCCTTGCCATTTTATTACTATTATCAATTGTTAAGTGTTCTTTCATTAAGATTTTGTTGACCTTGGTAGTGGATTGAGCCCAAAAAAGTTGATTAAAATTTAAATTCAAATCAATAATTAATTTTAGTCGAACATTTTATGGAGCTCACAATTTTTTAACTAAATATTTCATTAATTTTTATCAAAATTTACTAAAAATATAATTTTTTTTTTTTTATCTAATTTAAACAGGCTGAATCGCATATGAAACAAATTGTGACCCATTAGATTAACAGACATATATTGCACAGCAAATAATATAAAACAAAACGGCATCGCTGGAAAGACATAGCATGTGATAAATGGAACTTCCTCTCAAGCCCTTACTCCTTTTCAAATAGATAAATAAACATTAATTACTTAAAGTCCGTCCCGTGTATTTTTTCATTTCGATTCATTTTATGAAAAACTATAATCAATATTTTATTTAGCTCTATTTGATAGAAATTATAATTTAAATTTTTATTCACGTCAAAGTCAACAATTAATTCTAATCACATATTTATTAAATTCACAACTTTTCAACTATACATTTCATTAACTTTTAGCAAAATCTAATTTTAATTTCAAACAATTGCTTAATCTCCACAAAATCAATCAACCCTTGTAGAATTCAAGTGTTGATATTGTAGAATACAAATTACTTTGAGCTATACATTTTTGGTTATATAGAGGGCAGGGCGGCTCTTGGAATTGACCAAATAGATTAACAAGCATTTCTAAATAAGAAATTTGACTATTGAAAGAGAAACAAATCTATAGCCTATTTGGGAGCGATTTAGAAAATTGATTTTTTGATCGTTAGGAGAAAAGTGGGGTCACGTGTGAGAGAAGAAATCAAATATGACTGCTGAAATAGTGAAATAACGGTCAAAAAATTAATTTTTTGGACCAAAAAATCACTCCCAAACAAACTGCTATTCTTTTCATTATAGTTGTACTATGCAAGACTATTAACATTTTTGTTTAGTTGTGATTGTAATTTTGTGAAGCTATGTTTTGCTTCTCTGATGCCTCGAAAAATGAAGCTTGCCATATTTCTACAAGGGCCACCATGACACATTATTGAACATTTTCACGGTTCCTTCAGTTGGAAATTGATTGTGCAACTATATTAAAAGTTTCAGATTTAACTTGCTTTAGTTTAATTTTGAGGACCAATTCAATACTATTACAATAGAGTGGGGACCAATGATACAACTTTCCAAACATTAAACACTTGATTAGCCTTTGGTTGGGCTTGGTTTAATGAGATTTTGGGAAAAATGTATTTTGAAATAGTAATTTTTTAAAAAATGAGTTATTAGAAAAGAAGAAAAAAATTGAATTTATTATTTTATTGAAAAATGTTACGTGGAAAAGAAAGAAAGAAAAATTAAATTAAACTTAAAATTTGTTCGTTCATAAATTCTAACGCGGCATTGGCCAATGGGCAGACAAGTGGGCCACTTCTTCTACAACCTGACGCCCGGCCCCCTCATTCGTTACTTATGTACTCTCTCTGTATATATATGAAAATTTCTGTAAATTTCATTATTCAAGTATTTTTCTTACCATTTGCAAAGTAGAATAACTATAGAAGAGGCGGCGGGGATGGGGAATTGCTGTTCCGACGTGGCCGGTGCCCAGTCGGCCATCGGAGGTACCGCATCATTTCACACCAGCTCAGCAGTCAACGCTCCGAACGAGGCCGTGGAGGCCTTCCTAAATTCTCGTGGTCATCAGCTCCTCTACTCTCAGATCGAGGTATTCTAATTCTTTACAAGATTTAAATGAATACAGCTTTTCCCTGTCTAATATCTCAACCTTTTAATTGAGAGCTGATTGTGCAAATTAACCCGACCTAAGGGCCTTGATGAGTATAAGATTTAACTGAGTACACATGTTCTTAAGCTTGTTAACAATTTCTATAGACTATAGTAGTAGTGTATGTGTTTGTGCATCTGCACAACTTTAAGTTAATGGAGTGTATAACATTTTTATCTAAAATTACTTTTTGAAGGAATGAAGTTAGAATCAGTTAGTAGTTTGAATAATTAGTGTACTCACAGTTTTTGTAATCATGACTTTAGCAACTTAAAATTGGAACATTGAAATTAAGACCGATGCTTAGTTATTTTCGAACTTATATTCTGCGACTCATATTCCACGAGCCAAGTTTTGATAGCGAAAGTATGAGTTAACCATGATTTTAGCTACTTAAACTCTGCTTAGTTAAGATTTATGCTTAGTTAATTATTCCATGCGCCAAGGGCAGGTATCGTGTGACAGTGGAAATCTTAGGAAATGCCAATAGATAGATGAATCAAATGTCATTAGATATCTGACCTTTTTTAGAAAGATTCGTTTTTTATTGTAAATCTTTTTTGCAGCATGCCAAGAGATCTGAAAGAGAATTGCTAAACCAATTTGCTCACTATATAAATTGAGTATATTTGGAAATAAGTTGTTTCGAGGTGTATATGTTACTCATTTAAAGTATGCAATCATGAGAGTTTAGTATTTGGCTGAGATTTTTTATTTTTTTTTAACGTACAGTTTTCTCACCATGTGGAAAACTTGTAATTGGTTGTATAAATGGTATAATAAATGGAAAAGGGTAAATTAAAGACCCCACTTACATTCTCATCTGATGTGGTCTGCCTTCCAAATATTGATCAGGGGACTCCAGTATGCTGTCTGCTTAAATATAACCGAAGAGGTAGTTCTTATATTGTGATCTTGTCACATATAATACAGACCATTGATGCTTGCAGATTAAAAAATTAAACTAATGTATCAGCAATAATCTTATGGCAAAAGGGTTATGTCTACTGCTAATACAGACCATGTGTGACTGCCTCTTGTGTAATCAAAGATTGGGTGAGTCCAGTGCACACTCGAAGGATAGCGGCTGCGGGTTCCCCCTTCATAAAAAAAAAAAATAAAAAAAAAAAAGTTTGGGTGAATCTTTGGGTTACATGTGGGACATGACTCACTAGGCATGTTAATAAATTAGGATTAATTACACTTGATACATCTGGTATTCTGGCATTCATAGTTTAAGATTTAGTAAAAATTTCGGTTTTGCTCTGATTTCAACTTTCGTGTAACAGGCTATTATGTTCTGTGACAACCTGGAGACACCTCTGACATACCTCTAGAATACCATTCTGTTATCATTTATACTAAACAAATTTTGTCGTACTTGTATTTTTTTTAATTCTCATTGCATGGTGTGCTTTTTTGTCATTGTCTGGTAGCAGCTAACAGGTCTAGTTGAAGGGTAGTCCAACACAAATGAAAATATAAGACGTGTGATATCTAGTTGGAAACTAGGATAGGTCCACTAAAAGTGACATGAATGTAGTCTTTTGCTACTGAAAATACATGATTATCTGCTAGAAAACGCTGACATACCCTTACTTTTATCTTCGATATAAGTGATGTCACTTTAGTGCTGGGCTATGTAGCCAGGATTAGCCTTCATGGATGAATTCTCTTGATTTATTCTTTCGTTAATATTTTGGTTTGTCCTGCTCTTCAGTTTTACCTGAACTGATGTTCTATCTATTCATTCCAAATCATAGCAAGTAGAAAGAAGTGCTCTATTCCAACTAAACATTTATACCAGTAGTTTACTTTTTTGCCAATAACATTTTTCAATAATGTGCAGCTGTCTTTATCTGCTTCAAATTTGCGTGACCGGGATGTGCTCTCAAAGGTCTGTAAACAAATTTACCAAAAAAGCTATTTATACTATGCAATTCTCAAGTACTCATTCTTAACATATATTTGTATCTTGAATTGTTATATCCCAACCCCCTGCAGTTGGTAACGTAAGCTTAGAGTTTTGAAATTAATTCCTTTTCCTCTCCTTTGGCCCAATCCTCAAAAACTTGTTATTACCTGTTCTTCTAAAGGTGTCTTCTGTTTTCAGCTCATCATATTGTGTCAACCATCAATTATTTTGGGTCTTTTTTTGTAAATCAACTAATAGCTTTTACTACCCCATACTTTGACAAATCATTTTAGTTTGAAGGCAAGCCCTTAATTAACTTTGATCATTTCCTATCTATCACCAATAACATACTCCTTTCCTTGATAGATAAAACCATGCTGAGATACATGATAGAAATATATGTTGCGTGTCATTTCAAAACTATGTCATAAACAATCTTTTCTTTTTATTTGATGTTTACCAGATCCAATTTCTTTAGAGGTTTGTTTACGTATCTCTTATTTTGGTTATTTAGAGTAATAAGAATTCTTTATCATGTTTGATAAGGGCTGACTTGCCCTTAAGTTTTTAGTATTATTCAGTGTTCTAAAAAGCCGACCTAGGCTCGAATCTCGAGCAAAACACCTCGCTTCGCGTCTAGACGCTTTTTTTCTTTTTAATTTTTAAATGTTTGAATTTTTTCCATAATTTCTTTTGTCTTCTGTTTACACTTTTTAAAACACTGGTATTAATCTTATTTTGGAAATATTGACCTAATATCTTAAAAAGTCTTGTTCTCATTTCAGAGTGATCCTATGGCAGTTCTCTATATTAAAGGAAGAGATGGTTCACTTCAGGAGCTTGGTCGCACTGAAGTAGTTTTAAATTCATTGAATCCTAAGTGGATCAGAAAATATACTCTTACATATCAATTTGAGATGGTGCAGTATTTGGTGTGAGTATTGACACATTGATCTATTTTGTTATCTTGTGAATTTGTATTTTGTCAGGCTCATGTATCTTAACAAAATACCTTCCATCACAGGTTTCGTATCTATGACGTTGACACACAGTTTCGCAATACTGATGTCAAGGTATATTAAATATTATTCTTTCCAATTTTTACTACTAAGATAGGGACTTCTTGAATACTTGTAGAACGTATCATTCTCTGGCTGTTACTAAATTTGTTGGGGCCCACACCGATTAAAAAAGATTGTCAGTTTCTCCCATCCTATATCCAATTTCTCCTTTGATGCATCAGTGGATACTAAATTATTAAGGGTTTGGGAGGTTTAAATATTGAAAGTAATCAATATTTTGCCCTGAAATTTTATTAGACTCGCATGATTCATAAACTAGCTTTTTTTAAGTTATCTCAGAACCATGAGTTGTCAAATAGAATAATGAATTATGGTAGCCTCAACTATTTTGTGCTTCAAATCACCTTCTGCTGTCCTTGTATAAGCTCATTTATGGTTTTCTCGGAGTAGCTTCACTGAACTATGAGTCTCTCTTTGATATTGTACTAGTAACAAGGAATCTTTTTCTTGTCGTCTCGTTACAGTCGTGTTTTCTAAACTTCTAGAATGTGTTTAGTATTTGATACTCTTCCTATTTTTGCATATGCATCCGACTCTCATTAAAGCGCATCTATGATAAAACTACATTTTTTAAGTTCAAATAAAACATTTTCTCTTGTATAGGCGCTTAAGCTGGAAGAGCAGCAGTTTCTTGGTGAGACTACTTGTGCATTGTCACAGGTATGGTCACTGGCCATTTATACTAATGTGTTTGACTTAAAGAAATAAGTAGCTACTATAACTGTTACTACCAAAAATGAATCATGAGGATGTTATGTTGCACAACAAAGCTCCATGCTCTGTATTTTTTATTTTATGTATGTGTTGGTTTCTTTTGATTGAAACGTTCAAGAAAATAGTGATTCTTGTGATCAATTGAGTTCTTGTAACATCTTGCCTTTTCATGATAGCTTTTTGCATCACAAGTCTGAAAATTGACTTTTTCCGCATATCTTTTCTCAATTCAGATGTTTTTTCAGCAATAGCAGGATAACTGCTTCTGTTCATACTGTTTTTGTACCCTCCTAAATCTTTACTATCCTTAGCTCATCCATTTTCCCCAATGTAAAATGCAACACAATCATAAATTATGCATGCTTAAGAGTTAATTTTCTTAATCTGTAAAACTCTCATTTCTTTCTATATAGATTGTCACAAAATCAAACAGGTCTTTGACCTTGGATCTTGGACGTGGAGAACCATTTTCCACTCCAGCCCATACACAAAAGTTTGGCCAACTCACTGTTTATGCTGAAGAAAGTGTGGCAGCAAAGACTACAGCAGAGTTGATATTAAGATGTTCAGACTTAGAATCGAAGGATTTGTTCTCAAAAAGTGTAAAGACTCAAGAGTCTTTTCTTTTTCTTCTTCTTCTTCTTCTTTCTTTCGTTCTTTCTTTCTTTTTGAACTTGAGAAAGTTGATATAAAGCATATCATGTTATTTGTTTTTATAGGACCCCTTTCTGGTGATATCAAAACTCACAGAGACCGGTATTGCTGTTCCAATCTGCAAAACTGAAGTTTTGAAAAATGATCGCAGTCCTAAATGGAAATCAATTTTCTTAAATATTCAACAAATTGGAAGCAAGGTACATGAAGTTGGTCCTAAAATATGCATTTGCTGTAGAAATTTGACTGTGCTTTGTTGTGGACAGTTTACTGACCTCACTCTCCCTGCTCCACCCCCAACACACACGCGCACACGCCCACACAAAAGGAATGGTGCCCCCTTTCATGACCCCTTACTGCATCTTCCCTGGATCATATTGCATATGTAAAAAACTTCCTTTCGTTTACCTGGTTGGCTGGAAAGTTCGGAAATCTTTCAATTCAGGACCCAAAAAAACTGTCAATCCTACATATTAATCATCAGTTGCTTGGAGTTTGCAATTTCCTTGCAGCATTAAATTTGGATGGATACTTTCTGTAAAACAATTGTGAATGTGGAACTTTTGTCTGGAATTTCTGTTTTCTTATATTTCCAATAGGTTTTTGATTTAACAATACTCTAATTAATGCAGGACAGCCCAATAATCATTGAGTGTTTTGATTTCAATAGCAATGGAAAACATGATTTAATTGGGTAAATGCCATCTTTTTTCATCTGTATGCACTACCTAATTTATGGACTGAGATTCTGATTATGCCATTGCTGTATGATAACTTTCCAGAAAAGTTCAGAAATCACTGGCAGACTTGGAGAAGCTACATTCTGTTGGCATGGGAGAAAATTTGTTCATCCCAGTGTCTGTTGGGCAGAATCATCAAAGCAAGGTAAAAACCTACTTTAGGAGTTTAATTTTGTAGCAAAATGTAACTCTGCCTGCCATTTTTTGTTCTACTCAGGTATTAAAGAGTCAATTGTTTGTGGATACATATTCAGAGAAGATCCAGTATACTTTCCTTGATTACTTGGCTGGAGGTTTTGAGCTTAACTTCATGGTGGCTATTGATTTTACTGGTATAACTTTTTTTGCATTTCTGCTCCGGTGTTGATTTTTAACCTTTTTTTAAGCAAGTAAAATCACATTCTCAACAGTGTCCAAAAAAATTAAGAGGCTTAGTAGGCATAAGGCAGTCATCTTTCTGCGATTGTGTGTCATTTTCGAAACTCTGTATACTAAAGAAATTTGCATCATCAAAAGTCCCACACACAAAATCATGCAGCCGCACTGTTTACTTTTATCCCAAAAGTTGGGAGTAGCATAAGGGTAATTGGATCATCAGGACTGAGTATGTTACCCATTTTCACACCCATAACTTGTTTCTCTTGTACTCAAAAGTGTTTGAATGGCTTCTGACTTACTGTTCACATTTCTTTTTCAGCTTCGAATGGTAATCCCCGCTTACCTGATTCGTTGCACTATATTGATCCTTCAGGACGGCCAAATGCATATCAGAGAGTAAAGACATTCTTTCTTTAATGAAGATTTCATAATAAAAAGTATATTACTAAAATTGTCTCTCTCAATTCAGGCAATTTTGGAGGTTGGAGGAGTATTGCAGTTTTACGATTCAGATAAAAAATTTCCTGCTTGGGGTTTTGGAGCACGGCCAATTGATGGACCAGTATCACATTGTTTTAACTTAAATGGAAGCAGTAATTACTGTGAGGTGAACCTGCCATGAATGAAAAAAGTACCAGTGTTGAAAATTCGAGTCTCCCTCTCCTGCATGATCACTATTCTAAGCATTGTTTTTCACTAATTCCAGGTTGATGGAATCCAGGGAATTATGACGGCATACACAAGTGCCCTTTGTAATGTTTCGCTGGCAGGACCAACATTATTTGGACCAGTGGTTACCAATGCTGCATTTATTGCCAGCCAATCTGTAGCCAATAACGAATGGAAATACTTTATTTTGTTGATAATTACGGTATGCTTTACTGGCGAATAATGTTGGAAATTCTATTTTTAATGCATAAATTTTTTCTTGAATCTCCTCTGAACCCAATGCAGATTAACATATTTCCATTCAGGCAATATTGTCTGTTATTAAATGCATTTTGTCAAAGAATCTGACTATCACTAGCAACTCTATGTACCATAGTGGTGTCATTATTGTCTGATTTCACATATCAATTGTTATTATTCCTTGCATTTTCACAATATTTGCCATATTCAAATGATTTTAGGATGGAGTGATAACTGATCTCCAGGAAACGAAGGATGCCCTTGTTAGTGCATCTGATCTGCCTCTGTCAATACTTATTATTGGGGTTGGAGGAGCTGACTTCAAAGAAATGGAGGTTTAACCTTCTCTCTTCTTTCTTGAACGGTTTCTGATCGTCTTAAGTACTTCCTCATAGAACCTCAGCTTTATTTTCCGTTGTGTAATTTCAGTTTCTATCCATGCTGTGCTTTTCTTCCAGATTTTAGATGCAGATAAGGGAGAGCGACTGGAAAGTTCAACTGGACGAGTTGCATCACGTGACATAGTTCAGTTTGTCCCATTCCGAGAAGTGCATAGTAAGCCACAAATTTTATCAGACTAAGAGCATGTTTGCTAAGCTTAAAAAGTTTACTTAAAAGTAAATAAGTTTTAAAATCCCATAAAGATTATGACCTGGATCAAATCAATTCTTTTTTGAATTTCTAGACTAGATCAACGCATTATTGCTTCAAGAGAAAGTCAAAATAATTTATTCTTTTTCACTTGAAAGTGCACAAAAAGAAAGTTATCCAAAAATGCATGGATACGAAAAAGTTACTTGAAGTAACTTTACCCTTTTTATTATAAGTAGCCAAACATGCTGATACCACCCCTCCCTCTCAAGTATCTGACGTCTGAAAATGATTTGCATTACCTTGCAGGTGGAGATATCTCTGTCGTTCAATCACTTGTAGCAGAACTGCCTTCCCAATTTTTAGCATACATGAGAGCCAGAGATATATCTCCAAATAAGTAATAAATATTGGAACTGTACATAAACAAATTATTTCTCCTGTTATTTTTGGCACCAATTAAATATACTTTTTTTGGGACCCCTGAAGCACCAGCTTCAACAAATTTAGTTCCTGGCGATGTCTTTTTCGTCTTGCCGGGATGAACATGCTCGTATTTGTTCATAAATCATAACAATTTTCTGTGTTCATTATCTTTGGAAATGATTGGAAAAATCTTATATGTTTCATCAGAAATTCTATAAATTCTCAAGCTGTTGATTTTGAAGCCTCACTGGTGATTTGTAATAATTGTGACTTGACCAAGTGTGCCTGCCAGCGTTATTGTATTAATGTGTTATGTTCTTGGGCCGAATATTTTTTAGCGAAAATGGATACATGTTCAAGAACCAAGAATCATTTGGAATTTTGTGGGTTCTTGGTTTCGATTCCTAATTTATTTTTATTATTATTATTATTATTATTATTATTTGAATTGGATCGTAAGAGAAACAAATTTATTTTATACCCGATAAGCACGAATACGTAATGGGTGGTTGATACCATTTATTATTAGGAAATTTATCCGTCCTTATTTCTCATTGGAAGGCTCTATTTGTCTAAATTTTCCTTTATTTTTGCTTTTGTCTTTCTTTTTGATTTTTTCTAATCTATGGTAAAATATTTTGGAACCGATTTGGAACCTTGCGTTACGATTAGGTTCCATTTTGGAAGGTTCGATTCCGACTATAATATTCAGCCTAAATTAAACGTATATCTAGTATGGTGAAAGCAGAAGATTGCATTGCTTGTTTGGTTAGTATGAAATATTTGTGGGGAACATGTTTGTTTAAGCTTGTAGAGTTTAAAGTGTAGTGTATCAATGATTATTACCACTACAATGCAAAAACATAAGCTCTTAAAGTATAAAAATCAAATCAATCGATCCAAAGCTTCTTCAATATCACCAATGGAGTGTCCTATGATGTTGATCTCAGATTTGTGCCACATCAAACATATTTCGTCATCTGCAGGGATGGTAATGGATATATCGAGAGAACCATTGGAAGCAACCAAGAATTTGATCGGAGATATAAATATCTTCCGCATAGCTTCTCTCTCTATTTCCCAACTCTCCAAGTCCAAAATGAAAACAAGTGAATGTACATATAATTATAGAGCCAAAACTATTTGAATTTAAATTCAAGTATTGTACTATGAAAGAGACATGACTAGTAGGGTAATTGACCACAAGATTAAATCCAATGGATTTAATTTATAGTCCATAATACACATTAACTAGCACAATCTTTTCAAAGTGCTCAAGACCAATCATCATGTGCCAAGTGGATTTAAATGATTTAGCTCACAAATATTCACCTTGGATCACAATATAATCCATCGCTAAATTCCTCGATTACAAGTGATATCCATTAATGCGTTCTTACTTCATTATTATCGTTCACTCCAGCTTAGTATTTGCAGAACAATTAACCATTATCAATACTTAATATTGATAAACATTTGTTGAACTTACCAATCGCAAGTACTTTTATTCCAACATCTGCACGGTTATCATCAGTTGCAATTTTAAGCAAAAAAAAATAAAAATAAATAAATAAATAATAAATCTCTAGAAGCTAACTTCTCTCTGATGAAGTGATATTTCACCTCAATATGCTTAGAATGTTCGTGATAAACAGAATGCTTACACAACATCAATTGAAATTTGACCATCAGTAAAAATCGTAATATTATCATTCAAGAAGTTTAATTCACATAAAAGGCCTTTCAGTCACATGGAATCCTTTACAGCTTCAATTAATGCAACATATTGTGCTTCACACCTAAAGAATGTAACTATAGATTGCAACAGTGATTTCCAAGTAATACAATTATCACATAAAGTGAAGAAATCAAAAGTGGTAGATTTCCATCTTTATCCCCTGCAAAGTTAGAATCTATATATTCTTTAAGCTCTAAGTTTTACTTCCCTTTTAAAACACTACTCTTTTTAAAGTTCGAGCTAGGTATCTTAACAGCCATTTAAGCACAGTCCAATGAGATTTACTTGGGTTAGATATAAACCTGCTCAAGAAACTAACTGCATATGCAAGATTCGGTCTCATGGTAATCATAGAATACATCACAGACCCAATGACATTAGCATAGGGAATATTACTCATTTCATGCATTTCTTCTTCAGTTTTAGGGCATTATGCAGATGATAAATTCATGTATGCAGCTAACGGTATATTGACATACTTAGCAAATTTGATACCAATTTTAGTTATCACTTTATTCAAATAAGACTCTTGACTAATAGTCATCATATTATCAGCCATATTCCTTTTAATGACCATGTTAAGAATTTTTTTTACATCCCCTTAGTATTTCGTGTTAAATTTCGATTTTAAAAGATTTTTCATTTTTATGATTTCAACTTTACTAGAGGTAGCAAGCAACATGTTATCCACTTATAACAATAAATAAATTTCACAGCCTACTTTAAAGTTATTAAAATATAGACATGCATCAAATTTACTTACCTTAAAATTAATTTTAAGCATATAAGCATTAAATCTTCTATACCATTACCTAGGACTCTGCTTAAGACCATATAAGAACTTTCTAAGCAAGCACACAAGTTCAGATTTTCCCCTCACCTCGAATTCTTGAGGTTGAGACGTGTAAATCAATTCATTAAAAAAGTCGTCTTAACATCTAGTTGCTCAAACTTCCAATCATACTGGACAACTAAAGCTAAGACTAACCTGATAGTTATCCTTTTATGTATAGGTCAGGCGTGGTTTTTTTTCCCCTTTTCCCAACTGGTATACCGATACTGGTGCATTTGCTCATATGACCGCTGACGCAGGTAACCGTGTCGCTACTTGACCTTATCGAGAGCATTACAGTCAACCTTATTGTTCTTTCACTACACTTTGCAACCATAATCATAATAAAGGGTTTTATACTTAATGATCGACGAGAACATCTCATTATAATCTATCCCTTCTCTCTGAGTAAATTCCTTTGCAACCAATCTAACTTTATATGTTAAAGGATCTTTAGGTCCTACTCTTTCTTTCAACTTGTAGATCCATTTACATTGGTCTACCTTTTGATTCATTGGTTTTTCAACCAACTTCCAAGTCTTTTTTTTTATTTAGAGACTGGATCTCCTTTCTCATGAACTTTTTCCAATTTTTAGAATTTTTACAATTAACCGCTTTCTCAAATGAGCTGGTTCAACTGACTCCAAGGCTTCACTTGAAATTAAGACAAATTTCATGAAATTTGAAGAGATGTATTTCAAATTGGACTTCACTTGTCTTCTCTCCCTATCCCTTACTAATTGGTAATAATTTAAATTAGTACTTGCAAATATTTCTTGATTATGGACAATAGTTTCAGGAATTTCAAATTCAGGATTTTTTCGCTACTTCTTGACTAGATTCTTCTTGAGGTTGGATTTCACTATTTTCTGAATTATCATCTAATCTCTTAACCCAAACTCCATCTTCTTTCTTTTAGAAGATTTCATTTCCACAATCTGTTTGTTCTGACTTACTTTGTTTTTAAGGCAGGACATATCAAGTTCTTTGAACTTCACATCTCTACTGTTAATAATCTTAATGTCTTTCACACCTAAAACCTACAACTTATATCCTTTCACTCCATCTAGATAACCTAACATGACACACTTAGTAGTCCTAGGGTCCAATTTGCCCTCAATCTGATGTGCATAAGCTGCACAACCAAACACTCTAATGCGCGACAAATCTGAGGATTTTTCGGTCCACAACTCTTAAGGAGTCTTGAAATTAACATAACTAGAAGGTAACCTTTTTATCAAAGAGGTAGCTGTATACACGGATTCACCCCAGAAACCTTTAGACAACCCATAACTAATCATCATACATCCAACTTTATCCATTAAAGTTCGATTCATTGTCTCTACCACCCCCATTTTGTTGGGGGAGTATGTCTCATAGTTTTGTGCCTCATTATCCCATTTTCTTGCAGAAGCTATCAAATTCAAAGTTGCAAAACTTTAAATCATTGTCCGTCCTAAGAGTTTTCACACACTTTCCCATTTGATTTTCAACTCAGCCAAGCTAGGACTTAAACTTACTAAAAGTTTCAGATTTGGATTTAAGGAGATACACGTAAACTTTTCTCGAGTGGTCATTGACAATGAACAGAAATAATCTATTTCCTTCATGTGTGGGATATTTTTCAGGACCTACAAATCTATATGAATGTAGTCCAATCGTTTCTTACTGCTATGTTCGCCTATCACAAAGCTAACTCTGTGTGACTTTCCTAAAACAGACGTCTCGCAAAATTTAAAAGTGTAACACTATCCTTACCAAATTCTGGTTACTAAGATATTTCGACCCCTTGTTCCCAATATGTCCCATCCTCTTATGTCAAATGTCCGATCTATCTTCACAAACTAAAGATAATGTTGACTCTTTGCTATCTAAGGCTTTACCTTGAAGAACATATAACCCATTCATCTTGGGACCTTTAATAACCACTAAAGATCCTTTGCAAATTTTTAAAGTACCCGCATGAGATTTGAACTCATGACCTTCTTCTCCTAGAGTGCCTAAAGAAATAAGATTCCTTGCCAGACCCAGGACATACCAATAACACCCCGAACTTTTTTTTTATTATTTCTCATATGGGCCTAAACTTAATATGGGTCACTTAGTAAAGGAAATAATTCATGTTAGATTTGTCGTCGCACTAAAAGTCCAAAGGTTGATGATTTATTTTGCTTACGTGTACTTAGAATTATTGTAAATCTTATTTGGGTCGAATATTTAAGTATTTTTAGAAATTGATGAAATATATCAAATATTATATTCATTTTGTAGCTTGCATTAAATAAAATAATTTGGAACTAAGAAAAAAATATTTTGTACTAATTGTGTCCAAAGTATTTAATAGGAAAGAAAGTGTATTATTATAATATTTCATAAATAAAATAAGAAACGCAACTGCAGTTACGTTGGAAAATTAAAGGTCATATTAGAATTTAATATAAAGATGTTTATAATCATAATTAAGTTTTAATTGAATTATTTTAAAACTAAATCCCTTTGATTGGATTAGGAGTTACATTTCAAAATTATAAATATGGGTTTTAAGATGAACGTGTTTTATCTCAAAAAATGTATAAGTTCATCTTCATACAAAATTTGTTTCCTTTTCCTTTTATATATATATATATATATGACATCAATTCAAGAATTTTGGTGACAATAGAGGTAAGAA